AAAAAGGGTATGGGTGTGGGTGTGGGCATGAACATTAGACTTTTCTTCAGTCATACTCACACTCTTTGTTTTTTGATTGATTACTTGTCTTTTTCTCAAGAGATAGGTCGATTTGTTTCTCAATTTATCTAATACGAGCAAAATGGAATGTATGAATGCAGAGGAAGCAGTCTTTGATTTTTTAAAAATTGCTGAATTTCGCTATGAATGTGAAGAATAGTTTTCAAATACCAACAAAGGTTACTTAGGTTTTCAGGTTTCCTTTGCAGTAATCTGATCGTCTTAGTCAATATTTAACTTTGCTTTTATTGAGCAAATCATGAGTCAGTCGTCATTATTAGTTGTATTCGAAATATCATCATGGTACGGCTTGTTAGGATCGGATGAGGATATCGTTATCAATACAACCGGAGATCTGGATGTAGCATTCACATGAGACGAATTTGACCTTTGCGAAGAAGAATAAACAATATCCATGGATGAGGAGCTTCGACGAAATCAACTTTCATATAATCTGGTTGATTCACGTCGATCTCGTGTTGTAGCAGTCGTCCGTTGCAATACATGTTAGTTCGTTCATTGACAATACTCAAATGGTGTCGATCACAATCGATTGTCAATCTGTAAATATCATTTTCTTGATGGTGATTTGTCCAGCGATGTTTCTCTTGCACCTTTCCATTGACAAGAACACCTCCACCTGTCCACCAGCCGTGCGTTGAAACTGTGTTGGAGATGATCATGGGTATAGCGATGTCCGCTGAGACAATTCCCATGAATGTGTCATATTTACTTTCGACTTTTATGCGAATTGAATGAATATCTGTCGAATAGAACTGAGCACCAAGCGCCCAGGTATGAAAATTCAGATGGCCCATTTTTTTGCACACTCGATCATTCTCGAGTAGACGCATGTCTCTTCCATAGATTCTAAAGAATGTGCAGTTCGACAACATTTCTTTTCTTTTAAAATTATAATTGAACGTGTCTTGCAGCAATAAATGATGAAATAAAATACAAATAACGATGGTGTACTTCTCTTAGAAACTGGAGTGCTGAAAGGGAACGATAACAAAATTAAGTAAATGTACTGCAACATGAACAAGGATATTTGATTTTCTTCGCTTGATGGTAAAGGTGAGATTAAGGGATGAGGACTATGCTATTCTGTTCATCTTCACTCCTATGAGTGTCTTTGGGTTCAATTTCATAATACTACAAAACCCAGTGCCTTTTAGTGTATCCAGGAAAGGTACAGCTGTATCCGAACAGATTTCAATCGAAATGGTGTTCAATGTCGACTAGAATCAAATTCTGATAGATTTTATCTGATACCTTCTTTTACAGTGTATTGGTCGCTTCTTGAATAAATTTCTCCTACGAAAATGTGAATGGTTAAGAGCTGACCTCTTGGAAACACAAATGCAATCTAATTGGTTGATATACATCAGCAGTAGCAGAAAGGACTATGAGTAGTCTTACGTTTGACTGCTCTTCACTCTGAATTTTTCCTCTGTACAGACCTAATATAAAGTGTAAGATACAGTCAAAGATCATTCGTTCTTTTCTACGATTCATTCTACTTGTATGTTTCATATTCTAAGTTTACAAACAGCAGGACCGGCGAGTGCCCGTGTATATCTGATCACTACAGTTTCTTTACGGATACGAAGTGAACAAACTGTCAGAAACGATAGCTGTGTATCACTCTTCTTCTCTGAGACAGGATATCTAGTGACACTAGTTGAAAACAGAGACTAGAACTATTGTCGGATACGGCCATTTCTGGTCGTGCGAGTTGATGTTCAAAATTAGAATCTAGTCTATTGAAACATCTACAATTAATGCGAAGGTTGTTGAACCATTTCTTTCGAACTTTATTAAATGACGTCCTTAATTAAAGAGAAAACATGTCATAGCTATAATTATACTATTTTACTAATATAAACTGTCCTATCAGAAATAGTCTTGATACCCATAATCCCGGTATCAGGGAGAAAAGAAAACACAGGTAAAGGGAAGCAAAACAAAAAAATATACGAAGAAAGAAATGTTAAAAAAGAAGAAAAAACAGAATACAAGGACTTTTTGCGATTAGAAGTCAAGATAGTAACACTGATTTCAAACTGCTCACTTGGCAAAATCGACGGCGAACACCTTTTTTTGAGGGATGTTACGCTTACGGTTATTACTTTCGAATGTATATTCTAATTGTAAACGAAGCCTTAGTAATGGCGATAAAAAATAACGCCACGTAAGAAGTGTAACAGTCATGTAGAAGAAGAAAAACAAGTGAAAGAAAAAAAGAAAAATTCACATGTCAGAGAAAGAAAATAGATGAAGAATATTCACATAAGAACCGCAAAAAAAACCGTTGTTTATGCTGCGCAATGTGTAGCATTGAAAAGAAGTGTGGATGACGGTAAGTTTACACCGAAACATGATTCAAAGCAATCATGTGATATGTTTCAATTTTCTCCCTAGGAAATAACGTGCCAGAGCCTTTTCTTTTGCTCAAGGATGGGAGCGAGCGTATGCCGGTAGATTTATCACCCTCATCCTCACTCCCTACTCGTTACGCACAGTTATTATGCTTGAAAATGGATTGACATGTTTTTATATAATTTATTTTGACATTTTAAATTGAAGAAACGCATTCCAATAAAAAATAACGTGATTAACTGTAAAAATAGCGTTTTTTTTCGAAAATTTGGCGTTGAAAAGCTACTTTATAGCAACGTTTTTTCATGAACAATGTATCCAAACAACAACAAATATCCATTGAGTAATAATGAGAAAATAGCGAACTGAAAATGATTCAAAACCAATATTTACATCAAGTTTGGTGGATGACTAATAAGGAAAAGAACGGATAAATTTATCAGCATGTCATATCTAAAGCATATTCATTCGTTACAAAAGCGCAACAACAGTAGACGAGAATCGATTTGAGACAAGTGAGAATAATCCTTACGCGCATAACCAATTGCATTAAATTTTATATTAACTTCTTCATGATCAAAAAGCTTTAACATATCGAGTTGGATCATCCAATTCTCCACAGCATGATCTTTTTTTCTTTCGTGTTTTAACAATTTAATAAATGCTGTTCTCATTCTTGACTTTATGTGGACAAAGAAAAGAAGGAGAAGAGTAGTGATAAGAGTTATCTACAATGTGCTTACCATCTTTTCGTAGCATGTCGTTGTTTTCTTTATGCCGACCACCTACTGAAATTTTGAATCTTAATATTACTCGAAAGATTAATTAATTGTATTCATAGAGACCTCTTGAGTAAACTTCTCAAATCATTCTTTGTAATGCTTTCGATCTAATTGTATTCTCTTTTCAGATACACAAATGAATAATTATTCGATCGAAAAAAATCTGCAACACCCTAACATTTACAATAAATATACACCATTCTATGAATCCATCAAGCGACAAAGTTTCATATTGTTTGATGAAATTCGAGAAAACTTATCGTGTACCATTCAATCGGGTGAATTAGAGCCTGGCTTTTCAGTTTGGTCAGATAAACTGAAAAGATTCATTTCACTCTATGGATTCAATTTTACTAAAGTTGATCATGTCAAACTTATTAATTTGTATTTGTCTATTCTTTCTATTACTAATTTGAATTATATACATGCTCAAATATGTTTTGATATGCTTCGCGAGCTCATGCGGTTCGTATTTTCATTTCGGTTTAGAAATAATAGAACAATGTTTTGTAGAAAGATCCGTCTAATCACAAGAAATGATTTGACAATCGATTGGCGAATATTCTACAATTGGGCTCAACTCATTTATGATAATCATGATAAAACACATGGATTAGTCATTTTGCCCAAGTTCGTATGATTTTTTTTGTATTGAAGAACTGAAATAATTTATTATTATTATTATTAATTTTGCTTTCAGAGATATTAATAAGTCGCTTTTTGCTTGTGTACGACTATGTACTTCATACTTTTCAGCACAGGCCACTCAAGAAATTCTTGACGAATTACGTCCACGAATGTGTCCATTTGATTGGAATTTTGATAATACCATCAAAATGTTTACTCTGCTTCTTCCTGTCAATCTGCCTCTAGATTTGCACAATCAAGGATTCAAGTTTGTTCATCTCTTCCTTCTTTCTGTTATATCTTTCTCTTTAGATTATGGCTAGCTGAGTTTTTCAGTATATGGGAAAATATGCAGAAGACATCAGCGTGGAAATCAGTGAGTTGTCTTATTCATTATATATTTTTTATAATCAAAAATCTAATTTAGTATCTTTGTCTTATATTTTCATCGCTTGCCTGGAATAATATAGGTCATATTCATTGGGAACCTTGGATACCACAGGTGTAAAAATTTCTTGTTTTTTTTAAAGTAAAACCAATTTTTGTTAGATTTTTACACATATACTTCGAAGTTTTTCGCTTCCAATTGGTAAAATGCAAATGTCTTTAGAAGAATACAATCCTATTGTGTCAACTTCAACAAAATGGATCATTGCGATGATAGGCAATGGAAGTTCATGTCTTCAATACTTGCGAGATCTATTGATTGCTATGAAAAGTTTCTATCATCCATCGAATACGGGAGCATTTCAAAAGGATCTAGTCGAGTTTATTCTAGGACTTGCTCAAAATTTTGTCGATCGAGTTCATTTGTGAGTATAAACAAAATACTTTTGATGTGTGCGTTTTATCTGTAAAGAATTTTGTAGGGAACGCACAAGTCGTCCTGTTTGGTTCTTTGCACCACTAGAATCATATCGACTCACTGAACAAGATATTACTGATTTTGTCAATTGTGTGAAAGACTATGCATTCATTTCTATTTTTAATAAGGATTATACTGAAGAAGCAGCTAAAACTTGCAAATACCTTTCCATACTTCGACCAGAATTGATTATACCATCAATTGTTGAAAAGTCTGATATACTTTTTTTTTATTTCTTTGATAACTCATTGATACTTTGTAGACATTTTTCGTCTATTGGTAGTATGATTGAACCACATCGTTTTACATCAATCATGACTTGTTTAACGCATATTGCTCGTCAAATAGTCCAACAAACATCTGCTTATTCTCAAGGACAAATTTATGTATTACCATTACTCATGTCTGTGTTACCGGGTATCGATTTGAATGATTTGGAAAAAACATCAGTTACATTAGAATTTCTTGATACTATTCTTATGCTTATTACATGTGTTGATTGTTCATCAGCAGTGAACATTCGAAATGATCTAACAGAAGTGAAATTTAACTTTAACATCGAACAACAATGTATTCTTATTTTTTATAGATTGAGAAAGAAGTATGTTTATCAACATCAAACTTTGACGATTTCATTGTCGAATTTCTCAAACGAATATTTCAAATGATTGACGTATTATCAACAGATATGTCCGATGCTGTCACAAGTAACGCAGATGTTGATATAGATGATATCATGATCAACTGGAAACTAACAACTATTATGTTCAATATAGTTCAGCAGTGCAGTAGCAAAATCTTTCAAGTATGTATCGGAAATCTATTTGATCATTTCTTCCATCAAATAGATTAATCATATGTTAAAAAATGCATTAATTACATTTCATTTGTAATATATGATTTTGAATATCGATATTTAGAAAATTCGAGAAAAAGTGATAGATTTTGTTTCTGGTGTATGTTTATCATCTCGAGCACGGGACATTGCCTCTGGTCTCGTTCAAGCACTTGTCAAGGGAAATCCAGTCGAAACACTCAAGTATCTCATGCCTAGAACATGTGAATCCATCGAAAACATATTAAACCATTCCGAATCGACTATATTACTAACTGATTACAAAGGTGATATTGAACTGACTTGGTATTTAATTCTCTTTGCAGAGCTTGTTCATGCTCGTGGTGATGCTCTCATGATCTATAAACCAATGATAATGTCTGTTTTTCGTCAATGTATTCATTTCATTAACAAGAATTCATACGAAACTATTGCTCATGCCGTTGAACATTTACTCGAGTCACTTACTCATGTATATCCGATCGATTATCGACTAACGGTTGAAAATATTGATGAACCATTTGTTGACTTTTTGCCAATTCGAGTAAGTTTGTCTTTTTTTTTTCAATATCTTCTATAGAATATATCATTTAGGCTTGGGGACAATATGTTGATTTCGATAAACTTCAAGTTCAATTTCATATTCCGAATGATGATGAAATTGATTTTGCTTGTGAATTTGTCAATACATTCATATATCCTGAATTAACCTTGTTGAATGAAAAAGGTTTAAAAATATCGAACGATGAACGATTAAGATCGCTCACTATTATTCAATCTATAGCCGTCGGGTGCTTTCGAATGATACCACGTATCGAAAGCGAACAAATACAAAATCTGTAAGTAACCATAGAACATGAATGATCATTTATACAAATAAAAGAATTGTCGTAGTATACCATCAGTTGTTCCTTATGAGTCAAAGTATCAAATTCAATTTCCAATCTATTCTCAAGAACTAAGTAAGAAGAAACATTGATACTAGGGGAGGGAAGTTACCGTTACGTTACCAAGTAACTAGTAACGCAGGAGTTACTAGTTACCGGGTAACTAGTAACTTTTGCGTTACCAGTTACTTGGTAACTAGTAACTTTTGCGTTACCAGTTACTTGGTAACTAGTAACTTTTGCGTTACTAGTTACTTGGTAACTAGTAACTTTTGCGTTACTAGTTACCGGGTAACGGTAACTCTGCGTTACTCGGTAACGGTAACTGGTAACTTCAAATCTCTTCCATCCTCACGCAAAGGTTGTGTTTCCCAAATTTTGAGGTCCTATAAATTGGAATATATCGGGAGCCTGAGGTCCTTAAGTCCTATATTATGGGGGTACCCTTAGGTCCTCAAGTCCTATATTATAGGGGTACCCCTGGGTCCTCAAGTCCTATATTACGGGGGTACTCCTGGGTCCTCAAGTCCTATATTATGGGGGTACCCTTAGGTCCTCAAGTCCTATATTATAGGGGTACCCATAGGTCCTCAAGTCCTATATTATGGGGGTATCCCTGGGTCCTCAAGTCCTATATTATGGGGGTACCCTTAGGTCCTCAAGTCCTATATTATAGGGGTACCCTTAGGTCCTCAAGTCCTATATTATGGGAGTACCCTTAGGTCCACAAGTCCTATATTATGGGGGTACCCTTGGGTCCTTAAGTCCTATATTATGAGGGTACCCTTGGGTCTTCAAGTCCTATATTATGGGGGTACCTTTAGCTCGACAAGGACTATATTATGGGGGTACCCTTAGGTCCTCAAGTCCTATATTATGGGGGTACCTTTAGGCCCTCAAGTCATATATTATGGGGGTACTCTTAGGTCCTCAAGTCCTATATTACGGGGGTACTCCTGGGTCCTCAAGTCCTATATTATAGGGGTACCTTTAGGTCCTCAAGTCATATATTATGGGGGTACCCTTAGGTCCTCAAGTCCTATATTATAGGGGTACCCTTAGGTCCTCAAGTCCTATATTATGGAAGTACCCTTAGGTCCACAAGTCCTATATTATGGGGGTACCCTTGGGTCCTTAAGTCCTATATTATGAGGGTACCCTTGGGTCTTCAAGTCCTATATTATGGGGGTACCTTTAGCTCCACAAGGACTATATTATGGGGGTACCCTTAGGTCCTCAAGTCCTATATTATGGGGTTACCTTTAGGCCCTCAAGTCATAGATTATGGGGGTACTCTTAGGTCCTCAAGTCCTATATTACGGGGGTACTCCTGGGTCCTCAAGTCCTATATTATAGGGGTACCCTTAGGTCCACAAGTCCTATATTATGGGGGTACCTTTAGCTCGACAAGGACTATATTATGGGGGTACCCTTAGGTCCTCAAGTCCTATATTATGGGGTTACCTTTAGGCCCTCAAGTCATAGATTATGGGGGTACTCTTAGGTCCTCAAGTCCTATGTTACGGGGGTACTCCTGGGTCCTCAAGTCCTATATTATAGGGGTACCCTTAGGTCCTCAAGTCCTATATTATAGGGGTACCTTTAGGTCCTCAAGTCCTATATTATGGGGGTACCTTTAGGTTCTCAAGTCCTATATTATGGGAGTACCCTTAGGTCCTCAAGTCATATATTATGGGGGTACCCTTAGGTCCTGAAGTCCTATATTATAGGGGTACCTTTAGGTACTCAAGTCATATATTATGGGGGTACCCTTAGGTCCTCAAGTCCTATATTACGGGGGTACTCCTGGGTCCTCAAGTCCTATATTATGGGGTACCCTTAGGTCCTCAAGTCTTATATTATAGGGGTACCCTTAGGTCCACAAGTCCTATATTATGGGGGTACATTTAGCTCGTCAAGGACTATATTATGGGGGTACCTATTCTATACTGGTATCCATAAGTCTTCACGGCCTGCCGAATAGGACACCCTCATATAATAGGATATGAGGACCCGAGTGTATTCCTATAATATAGAAGATGAGAACCCAAAAGTACCTCCGTAATATAGGCCTTAAGGACCTAAGAATACCCACATAATACAGGACATGACAAGGGGGAAAGTGCAGGTACCAAGTGCCAAATTGTACTTGATGGTGCTGAGGTGCTGAAAAGGTGCTGAGGTGCTGAGAAGGTGCTGAGGTTCTGAAAAGGTGCTGAGGTGCTGAGAAGGTGCTGAGGTGCTTATAGAGTTTAGATGATATTATATGTTTTAACGGCTGTTATTGACATAACCTAATAGCGTTCTCTATTAGATTTATTTCGATATCATAATCCTATTGAATGTTCTCTGTGTCCAATGAGAAAGGAGGTGTGTGAAATTCCTATCTCGGCATACCAAAAATTTGACCCTAATTTTATCAGCGCTAGAATCAGCATTGAACCCTGATTCTTTTTCACGAGTTTATTTTACACTTTCTCATCATTCGATTTTTCGACCCATGGAGTCCCCCAGGGATCGAAAAAATTTTTTTATCAAGAATCCTTTAGAAGTCCTTACAGTTTTATAGAACTAAGTGTGCTGATTCCAAATATGATATTTATTTTAAAGATTAATAGGGAAATAAGAAAGATCTGAAGTACTTAATGAGAGGTCTAAAAACCTGTTTTTGACCTAAAGGTCCATAGAAATCTCATTTAAATTCATTGAAAATAGGCTCATTCGACTCAGAATGTTTTTCTCTACCAGAATCTATAAGAACCTTTTAGGTATTGAAAACTTTTTCTATCGAACACTGGGGAACACCGCCCCCGATTGGACTCTATTGCTATCAAGAATGACTTTTCTCGCTCCTGACAAGTTATCGTTTATAAGAGTGTACCAGCGAGATTTTTTTTATGGAATATGTAATTTTATATGCTCTTCCAAATGAAACTATTTTCAACTTGAAATTCGATGTCTAGTGGACCATTTTCTATCTAACACCTATCTCGAGACCCTTTTTTTCCTATTTTTGCCCAGTATTTCCCAGTGTTCGTCAAGGATAATGTTGATTTGACTTCAAACAAATATCACATTCGGAATTAGCACACAAAACTGCATTGACCTACATATGTTTCATATCGTTTCTGAGACTTTCATTTTTCCCAAAGGGGAAAGTGCAGGTCCCTGGCACCAAATTTGCTCTGGAATACTGAGCAGGTGCTGAGGTGCTGATAAGGTACTGAGGTGCCGAGAAGGTGCTGGACAGCTGCTGAGGTGCTCATACATATTTGGCATTAGACTGGAAATCAAGGTAATAGCTATGAAGAAGACTCAGACTATTCCGAATCGACTTTTTCGATCAAAACATGAGTTTTTCGAGAAAATAACGATTTTTGATAAAACTTCACTAAAGGCTTTCGGAGTCAAGGAACCCGAATCTATAGTTGGTTTCTCGAAATTCTCGAGTTCATTTTTTTTCAATCAGTAGAGTTCTATTTCAAGACAGGCGTTCTCTCATCGAAAAAAAAATCGAACTCGAGAATTTTGAGAAACCAACTATAGATTCGAATTCCTCGATCCCGAAAACCTTTAGTCAAGCTTTTTATAAAAAATCGTTATTTTCTCGAACAACCCTTGTTTTGACCGAAAAAGTCGATTCGAAATAGTCTCAGTTAGACAGCAGTGTCACATATCCAAGATTTTGGAGATGCCACCACGTCTCTCGCGGGAGATGCCGCATCTCGCGCGAGAGATGCGGGTGTGGGTGTGGGGGATGCGCATCTCTAAAGGAGATCTGACATCTCCAGTGGTGAATGACCACATCTCTCGAGTGTGGGTGTCGCGTATCCCGCTGGAGACGCGGCATCTCCCACGGGAGATGTGGTGGCATCTCCAAAATCTTGGTTATGTGACACTACTCCAGTTAGGGGTGAGAAGTTATTGTTATTGGTTGTTATTAATAACAGATCAATAACAAATCCTAATCTATGAAGGTACCCTTAGGTGCTCATCTCCTATTATATGGAGGTACCCTCAGGTCCTCATGCCTACTACCTGAAGGTATCCTTGGGTCCTACTATCTGAAGGCACCCTTGGATCCCCATATCCTATTATATGCAAGTACCCTTAGGCGCTCATGTCCTATTATCTCAGGGTATCTTTGGATCCTCATCTCCTATTACGTGAAGGTATCCTTAGGTCCTCAAGTTCTATTATATACGCGTATCCTTAGGTTCTCAAATCCTACTATATGAAGGTACCCTTGGGTTCTCATCTCCTATTATATGAAGGTACACTTAGGTCAGTAGAGGGATGTAACAATCCTAATACTTCCAATACCAATACCATTTGGCATTAGTGGTATTGATAGTGTGCAAAGGAATATCAAAGTTGAAAATTTCGAAAAAATAATGGTAGATTCGAATTCCTCGATCCCGACAGCCGTTGTTCAAAATTTATATAACACCACTATTTTTGGGTAGAAAAGCCCTTCCTTGACGAAAAAAATCAAAAACATTAAATATGGAAAGATTAATTTTATGTTTTTGATTTTTCGTCAGTGAAAGGTTTTTTTTCATAAAGTTAGATCAAAGTTTGACGGCGTTGCAGAATTCGAATCTATGATGAGTTTTTCAAAGTATTCAAGTGTGTCTTTTCATTGCACACTACCAATGCCACCCATACCATTGCAAGTATTAGCATTGTTGCACCCATGTGCTGACCTATTGGTAGCCTTATACCATAGTACTTGAGAGCCTCAGAGGCTCTCCATGTAATAGCTCTGGACAGGGGTGTCGCGAGGTTCCCAAGATTGGGGTGAGGGGTCGATGACTCGGAAGGTCGACCGAAAAATTTTTGCTAAAACTCACTGGATTGGGGGGGACGAGCGGCTTTTTGAGAATCGGTGAGCAAAAAAACGAATAAAATTCTGCAACTTTGCTGGGAAAAAACGAAAATTTCTCAAGATTGGGCAAGGGGAGGAATCCCCCCGCTCCTCCCCTCGCGACAGTCCTGGCTCTGGGGGACCAGTGGTAATTGTCTATAATAGGATATGACGATCTAAAGGTACCACCATATAATAGGAGATGAGGACCCGCGGGTACCTTCGTATAGTAGGAGATGAGGACCCAAGAGCACCCACATATAATAGGAGATGAGGACCTAAGGGTACTTCCATATAGTAGGAGATGAGGGCCTAAGGGTACCTTCATACAGTAGGAGATGAGGGCTTAAGGGTACCTTCATATAGTAGGAGATGAGGACCTAAGGGTACTTCCATATAGTAGGAGATGAGGACCCGCGAGTACCTTCGTATAGTAGGATATGAGGACCTAAGGGTACTTCCATATAGTAGGAGATGAGGACCCAAGAGCACCCACATATAATAGGAGATGAGGACATAAGGGTACTTCCATATAGTATGAGATGAGGGCCTAAGGGTACCTTCATATAGTAGGAGATGAGGACCCGCGAGTACCTTCGTATAGTAGGAGATGAGGACCTAAGGGTACCCCTATATAATAGGAGATGAGGACCCAGGTGTACCTTCATATAGTAGGAGATGAGGACCCAAGGGTACCCACATATAACAGGAGATGAGGACCTAACGGTGCTTCCATATAATAGGAGATGAGGGCCTAAGGATACCTTCATTTAATAGGATTTGTTATTAATCTGTTATAAATAACAATAACAATAAATTCACATCCATAGTCGCAGTCTCCTTCATAGCTATTACCTTAATTTCCAGTCTAATGCCAAATATGTATGAGCACCTCAGCATCCACAGGTGCTGAGGTGCTGAGAAGGTGCCGAGGTGCTGAGCAGGTGCTGAGGTGCTGAGGCGCTGAGCAGGTGCTGAGGTTCCAAATCTGCACTTTCCCCCTTGGAACATGAGGGCCTAAGGAAGAATAAGAAGAATACCCCTGACTTTTGGCTACCTTTCAGTATGGGGTACTGTCCAAGGACAGTTTCGAAGGCCGGATATTTTTCCTGCAACTAGTACTAGTTACAGTTCTGGGCAGAAGGCCGGCCTGACTCAGAGTTCTTCTCGCTTAATCGCTTAAGCTCCCCTTACATGCTGACTAACCACATACGAGTTATAAAGGCTTTTTGTGTATGTCGACAATGTAATCAGTATGTTATCGGATGCATGGTCCGAGACACTACAACCGTTAGTGACTTGGCTAAGGTCATTCTATGTATGATGGTGCCGAAGTTCGAACACACTATCTTGTGGATATGAGTCGAACATCGAAACTATTCAGCCACAGCGGCTCGGACCTAAGGGTACTCGTATAATATAGTACTTAAGGACCTGAAGGTGTCCCCATAATATAGGACATGAGGAACTAAGGGTACCCCCATAATAGAGGACTGGAGACCCAAGCATACCCTCATAAAATAGAAGATGAGAACCCAAGGGTACCCCCATGATATAGGACTTAAGGACCCAAGGGTACCCCCATAATATAGGACTGGAGGACCTAAGGGTACCCCTATAATATAGGACTTGAGGGCCCACGGGTACCCCCATAATATAGGACTTGAGGACCTAAGGGTATCT